TTTTGTGACAGTTCATAGAACGCTAATGGTTAATGACCGTTAACATTTGAGTGATGTCTCATGATTACACCCGATCAAGTCATGACCGTTGGATTAATTAAAGGGTTTGTTTGATTGTTGAGAAAGGATGGGATGTGAAAAGGAAAAATTATTTTCTTAGTTAGTCATACTGTGTTTGTTTGTTGAGAAAATTTTTGTAAGAAATCCATTTTCTAGTGTTTGTTTAGTGAGAAAATTTATATGAGAAAATCATTATAGAAAACTATTCAACTATAAATATACATGCAATTTATTTATATGATGACATGGCATGGGTATGACAACTTGCATTACCAAAAGTATGACATGTGTTAATAAACTTGGCACATGGAAAAAGTATGCCATGTGCCAACAAACTTTCCACGTGGCAAGTTTCTCAAGGTTCCTCTCTTGTCATGTTTAGCTTCCATCAAGCAAGTTTCTCAATGTTCCTTTCTTGTCATGTTTAGTTTCTATTCTTCATATTTATCACCAATATTTTTTAGAGAAGAATCTCTAATAAAATGTTTTGACCATCATAACCATTTTGAAGTGTTCAAAACTTAACTTATGGCCTTTTATTTTCAATTTATTATAAGGGCATCATTTTAATTGTAACTACACAAAACCACATCGAGAATCAAGGCATTCTTCATAGAGATATCCTAGCATAATAGCGGTAAATGGGTATAAATGAAAAATAAAATACAGGTACATAGGGGATTCTAATGGATTTTAGTTCCTGGGTTTGGATTTATGACAACCTAGGCTTTTATAGGAATCTAAATGAGGTTTTAGTTCATGGGTTTGGATTTATGGCAACCTGGCTTCTCCAAGAATCTCTATCTACTATTACATTTGTTTTTGGGTTTTGAGGTGAGGACTCACAAAAATGTAGGCTCTTTTCACATGGATTTGAATTCAATTCAGGTTGTAGGCAAGGGTTTTGATGTGAACATTATATCGATTGGAAGCATGGTAACATTATTTTGTTTTAGAAAACAAAAAATGAAAAAATAAAGACAAAAAAATAAATGAATGAGTATTAACAAAAGAGGGTGGCAGGAAAAGAAGAGATATATAGCAACTTGCTAAGCCATAGGGGTTTTATCTCTATAGAGCAACCGGTATCTATTTTACAATATTGAAAGAGGGTAAATCAATAAATAGCAACCAAAACAGGTCGGTGGGTTAGAATAAGGAAAAGAAACATGGGGAAAAAAGACAATTAGTAACACCCAAGAAAAATGAAGTTCATTTTGGGCAAATTCTAACCTGATTTGATGGAGACAACGGGAGTTCTAGTCGTTAAGGAGGAAACCACAATGATGGGTAATAAACAATGGTTTGAAACAGATAAAAGAGCAGAAGAATATAATCACTATCACAAGAAGAATAAGGATCTGGTCTTATTTTGCTTGAGACTGGCAAAGAAATTGTTGGAGATCATTGAAGAAGTTAAAGGGAGTAGAGGCTTGGGGTTCTCTTCTAACAAGGCCTGATATGTTTTCTTAGAGAAGTCCCAACTTTCTTTTCTCAGTGGGTCATGCTATTTTGGTGCAATCCTACCCACACATTTTTGGGATCTTGTGTCCCACAACTTTCTTATCTCATGTCACTATATTCTACAAAACGAACACGAGAAAATGGAATTATTCAGGAATAATCCATTTTTTTCGTTTATTTCTCAATAATCAAATCGACCCAAAACGTCAACAATTATGGTTTGACCTTCAAGACTCAAACACACTCTTATGTGCAATACAAATCAGAAGCAGTTTTTGGAGTGTCTGTTTTCGAATTGCAAGTCGCTATTTGCAATTTTGCAAATGACATGTGATTTCACAAAATTTGCAATCTATCATTTGTGATTTCAAAAACCTATAGTTTGCAGTTTGTCGCAAAATCGCAATCTACGATTTTATATTGTGTCATCACAAATCATCTCATTGCATCAAGTGTCTGCACAAAATATGGCCACTTCATGTGAAGCGTGTGAAGTGCGAGCAAAGTGCTCCTCTAAAGCATTTCATTGCACTGCATACACTCGCACACGCGCATGCACACATGTTGCGTGGTAGCAAGTCTCTATACTCCTCTTTATAATTCTGAATGGTGTAACTAAGATACTACTTAAAAACTCAAGTCAATTATAGTAATTTTCCAATTTGGCACAAGTCTTAAAGAAGAGGAATAAGGTAAAACAAAGAGGTTTGGTAGGAGCTTTGAAACCATTTTCAAAGTGAATGTGTAGGTGTGCTCAAACATGTAATTAATCAATTAACTACCCATTGAATTTAATCTTTAATGATATTAAAATCAAACAATTCCCCACTTCGATTGATCAATTACATGAGTTTCTCTTAATCAAAATTACTATTTTAGTCTTGTCAAAGTTATTGGTAGTAAGACTTTAAACTAGTTACTCTCAAGGCAGACCAGAAATACCCATACACATAAAAATGTCATATCTATGCAAGAATTTTAAATTTGCTCAACACTATTTTGACCATGTGCTACTTTCCTAGTTTCGTGAATGATCTCGAGAGCAAAACCTAGACTTTCATGAGAAGTGACACAATTTCTATGTTCGTATAGGTGAAGTTCCACTATGTGTTCCATTACTTGACATATTTCAGAATTTGGTTAAGAGTTTAATTCAACATCTTTATCATAACGGACAACATTGCTTAATATTGTAATAGGAGGACTCTCAATTTTAGTGTTTACAATCACATCGTAATAACTTGTTATTATCCATTAAACCTAATACTGATATTTTTAGTTTAGATCGAGTTACCATTACTAGTGACTAAGTGAAAGGTTTTAATCCCATCTCTTTAGTTATTGTTCTTATCAATTCTCTAGGCAGAAGATCAACCAAGTTTTTACTTGATTTTATATATGTTATAGTGATAATTTCATCATGAATCAATTGACTAACATACTTTTGTCTTAGACTTATATGTGGACTTAACCATTGTAGGTATTATTATAGGCTTTCGATATGTTATAGTGATAATCCTGTCCTAAATCAATTGCCTAAAATATTAATGTCTTAGACTTGTATATCTGGAATTACCACTGTAGGTACTAGTGTAGACTTTTGATAGAGTTTCTTAACTATCACAATAGATAGAAATTGGAGGCGTAGGACTAAACCATAATTTTAAATTTAATAATAAATTCCTAATCCATTCATCTTCCTTTCTAGTAGCCGCCAAGGCTATGAATTTGGATTCTATGCTTGAATGAGATATACAATTTATCTCTCGTATGTCCAAGAAATCACACCCCCACTAAGGATGAAAATCCATTTAGAAGTAGACTTGTTATATCTATTACTAATAGTTTAATTTGCACTAGTGTACCATTCCAATACAATTAGATAATCATAGTAGAATAAGCCAAATTCCAAGGTCCTTTTAAGGTGCTCTAAGACTTTCCCAATTGTCTTCCAATGCTCTACATTGGGATTACTTGTAAACATACAAAGTTTACTCATTGCATATGCGACATTAAGTCTAATACAAAGCAAAACATACATCAGATTCCTATTGCACTAGTATACTCAAATTGTGCAACTACTCTACCTAAATTTTTTATTAACTTTATACGAGTCATATGGTGTACTATATTATTTAAATTCATAATGCTTAAATTTTTTAAATATTTTCTTAATATAATGTGTTGGTTTAATGCACAATCTCCATTATGTTTATTAACTTTGATTCCTATGATGGTATCTACTTCTTTTATTTATCTTTCATCTTGAAAATAAAAGATAAGTAGTTTTTGATTTCACTTATGCCAATTATGTTACTACCAACAATAAGCATATCATCAAAATAAAGACATACAACTACATCGTAATTTTCAGTAAACTTTGAAAATTTTGGCCCCTGTGAGAACACAAGGCATGTTATTTAATATAAAAAAATTAAAGTACTATATATTTGCTACTAAACTTCAAGAAAAGATTATACATGACCATTATCATATATGACAAAGTGCATAAAAAAGAGTTCTAATTGATATTGAGCATCAAACGTGGGTCTTTTTTTCCATTACCATTTTTTAGAAAAATGCTGCTAGCTCAGAACCACCTAAGCATTTTTTACAATGTAGAATCACTTCTTATTTGATTGACATTTTATTGCCATTAAATATGTTGCCAACTTTTTGCCTTAATATATGTAAGAGTTGTTTTTCCATAAACATTTTCCTATGTGGTGTTTATCACCTATTGCTATGTTTGGTTCTATGGGTGTTTAATGGAAAAACGCCTCCACATTAATGCCACTTAAGCGTTGGAATTTATTTTGCATGAAATAAACACTAAAAAACAGAAACACTTGTATTTATGTGCATAGGGTGACAATGGGTCGATCTAACTCTACAAACATGATAGACCCAAATCGATTGGGCTGATAATGGTTCTAGGAACTGGACCTGACGGGTCAATTCTGGGTCTTGATATAGTGTCTCAAATAATACCAATTCGGAACCGATTCCACCAAATCCCGAATTGATACAAACACGACCCAAGACATATCCAATCGGTTTGGTTCTGGGTTTAAAAAATTACAAACCCTATCGGGTTCGGTTTGGTGTTGGGGGAAACAAATTTTGGTTTCTCCTAATGCCCCAATATTTATTCAAATGAAATGCTTACTAAGAGAGGTAAAAGATTGCTTCATGGGGTGTAATTTAAAATGCCAAACCAAACTACAAAGTGTTACTTGAAACGCTTATGAAATGCCCAACCAAACAACAAAGACAATAAACGTTCAAAGTAACATTTTTCAATTAAATGTTTATGATTTAATTAAGAAACACACTATCTATAAATGCCCACAAAACCAAACACATACCATATGTCTTGAAACAGAAATAAACATAAATAAAAAATTGCTTTTAGGATTTTGTGTAGGAGTTGCTTGTTCTTTGACTACCAAACACAACCATAAATGGCTACTATGTTGAGAATTAAAATGATACAATCTACCTGATTATTAAGTGAATGTTATAGGGTTTCAGCAAAATTATATTGAATTACAGACCGAAACAAACTCTAGAAACTTAATTGAATGCCGGAAAAAGGATAAAAGTAAAACTGGAAGAAGTCACATGTGAGATGTCATCCAAGCTTGAAGTTAAATGCTCTTAACTATATATACAAGCAAATGAAGCTACAATATAATCTCAAACGTCTTGCAAGCCTGACATTGAATGTACAATGCAGTTAGATTGAATTTAGTCTCAATGCAGAACTTGGGTGTCAATTTGCATCCTCTCTCGAGATGTTCTTCATGAGCTTCCCCTAGACGGACGCCCAAAATTTCCAAATTAACCTAAAACCAATAAATTAAAGTTATAAGGTATATATCATTTCAAATATGCATAGTTTTTCTAGGATTTACCATCATATCCCTTTGATTGATTGCTATATCATATATATAACTAACAATATTGATTGTTAATATGACTAACATAATTAAGTGACTCCAATATCATTGATTAGCATGGACTTGATATTCGCCAAACCTAACTGCAAATTACAGTTTGGTGATTTAAACTAGGAGTGTTCACAGTTCAGTTTGGTGCGGTTTAGTAAATCTCAGACCAAACTGATAAAATGTCTGAGAAATTCTACCAAATCGTTTTAATATGGTTTGGTGTAGTTCTTAATACGATTTGGGTCATTGCATAAATAATAAATGTTGTCTTTTAGTCACCATGAAATCATTGAATCATTGTATTTCATATGCAAATTTGATTAGAATGAGTGTTTTGAGAATTTATTTTATTATATTATATATTACAATATTAATATATTATATATGTTAATATATGTATATATATTTTAGTTTATGATTTGGTTTGGTTTCTAAAATGCAGGAAACCAAACCAAACCATTTTAAGTTTAGACCAAACCTAACTGCAAATTACAGTTTGGCGATTTGAACCATATAATGAACACCCCTAGCCATTACCATGGTTCCAGCTATTAGGATTTTTTCTTTTTCTTTTTTTTTTTTTGGGGGGGGGGGAGACTGGATATGAACCTAAATTTTAGCATTTTTTCAAATATGAAAAACTAAAATAGAAAAAAAATTGTATGCAAAGGCAAGAGGACGGGAATCTCTAAAAGGGAAGAGGTAACTGCACCTCATCACCTCTGTTGAGTTGGAGATCACAAAGAGTGCAATAAATAATTTGATGGTTCTCTTGCAACTCGCCTTTCTTACAGATGGGACACCAAATCTCCTTGTCAACCTATCACACACATAAAATGTTTTATAATTGTCATTTTACTAATAGGTAATTGAGTAGCAAAAAAGGCAATTAGATAAGAACATAGACTGCTATTTAATAATCTGAAGGTACAAATCATAATAGTAACTCCTATGTAAACTAAACAACAGAAAATGTAGTAGCAAGAAGGGAAGTGAGTGAATATATTTCTCAAGGCAAGTAACTCCTATGTAAACATACACCACCATCTCTTACTGAAAAATTTCTTCTAAAATTAGGGTTTTTTTTTTGATAAAACTAAAATTATGGTCTAAACCATAAAAATTCTTTCAAGAAGTAACTATGAATGAGATATTTTTAATTTTATTCTTCTTAAATGCATTTAATAAATAGGAAAGCACAAGATAATCACAACTTTTTTTTTTATTATAACAAACTATAATAACTTTCTAAAGCCCAAATTATGCATATAATATATCAGAGCTCCAGATCTTGATGGACTAAACTTTGTTTACTAGCACCTAACTTGGACATCTCCAAAATTCATCCAAAGCCTATAGGGAAATTCATTCATGTGAATTTAGCATAATGGAAACAAAAATGCAAGGTCCACATCAAATTGTAATTTCTTCTTCTCACAAGATACACATGCTATTACACATGATCCGTTTGTACATCATACTATCACAAAATTATAATTCTGATATTCTAACTTCATTTATTTTTAGGGGTACAACTTGGGTCAGCTTAACCTGAACCCAACTTCAAAAATTTGGATTGGGTCAGGTAGGGTTCAAGTTTGGGTTAGGGTTGAGGCCGAAGGCTATTGACCCGACCTGAACATGAAATTTCTTCATATTTATATGTATTAATAAAAGCACCATAACTTTATCCTTGTAGATAATAATGCTAAGATTAGTAAACCTCAATATTTTAATTAATTTGGTAAACTCAAGTCTGAGAAAAAGAAGATTTTAGCAAAATGAAGTGAAGAACTGGGCTAACCGAACCCAACCCATCCTGGAAAATCAGGTTAGGGATCAACAACTCGGGTTGCATTAGGGCTATCCTCAAACTGACCTAACCTGGCCTCACTTGCACCCTTAATTGTATTTATGCAATATGTACAACATCAATGGAGAAACGTTGAAAGTAACTTGGAGCTACTATATGTTTGTTGCCATCTTGGTGGGATCTTAATTTCCTTTTTTTAATGTTTTCCCCAGTCTTGGTGTGCCCTTGGTTTCTCTCTCTATGAAATTGGTGCTTCACTAAATCATGGAAAATGAATTAATGCCTGCTGAAATTACATATAACAAGTTTTCTTTCTTACCCATTACTCTTTTACAATTTTTTGGCAATCTTATGTATAATATATCCAGAATTTGTGTCCTTACAATTGATGGATGTTCAAAATTGTGCTGTAGAGGTCCACAATATTACACCATAATGTAGGCTATAATTGGTCAAATCTTGATATTCGGGGTATTTATGTATTTTTGGATGGAAGGGTGTTTGTTGTAATCTTCCAATAGTTTCTTTTTCCTGATGAGTTGAGTTGTTATCACTTTTCCTAATTGCATTAGGGTTTGGTATTTCTAATTACACTAGGAGTTCAGATATATATGTATGCATATTACCATAAAAGTACATATACAGTTGGTTTTCCTAATTGGCTAGAGTTGTCTTACTATGTTAGAGTCATAGTCCTATGTCAAGTAAGATTTGTTTTATTCCTAGTCCAAGGCAACTAGGATTTGTTTCATTCCTAGTTACTGTCTTAGTAGTGCTTCTTAGTTGGTTCCAGTGTAGGAAAATAAAGAAAAAGTTCTTCCCCACTCTACCCTCTTTGCCTGAAAACAAATATGTAAGCCCTCTTTCAAACATTAGACAATAAAGTGTGATTTTTTGTTTTTGCTTTTAATGTTGGATAATGTTAATTTTCTTGATGGTTCTAATTTCATCAGGAAGCTAATAAGAGCATTGACATGTGTAACGCCAGCCACAAGCAACAATGGGTGTGCAAATCAGGCTTTTCAAGCCGGTCAAGCCACCCTTGGGTGCAAATGTGAACCAAAGAATGAAGCAAATCAAGTTCGCACCCCTCCACTGTCAGGACATGTAAACCAACATATGTGGGACCAGGAAAGACACATCAGAGTACCACATCCCCTGCACACATAAACTGATACTGATTATCATGCCACAACTTGATGAGAAGATTTTCCTCAACAAAATAATACACTTTTCACAGAAATGTATACACGTGTGCATTTAATGAAAAGGAGACTAAAAGACACTTAAAGGAAAAGACAAAGGACACAGAAAGGCGGGAATTTCAGAGGAGCTTAGGCTTGATAGCCATAGAGTGGCTATAAAAGGGAACAGATCTCCAACATAGACAGAAGGCACTTCACTCAACTTTTCAAATAGAGCCACAACCTTCAACCCTAGTTCCCCCTTCCTTCTCCCCTTTCTCCGAGCTTTCTCAACCAGCTCTGACCTTGGAGCAACTGCAGCCAGTTCAGTCCAGTCCAGTCCTCAATACCCAGCACAGTGGGGGAAACTCAGCCTGCCAGACAGTCATACGAACAGAAGGGGCCTCCCAGAACCTAGAACCAGTCGGTCTTGTTGAGTGGGCCGATTTATGTTTAGTTTGATTTCTTTTAAATTAAGAAGTTGTTGGGCCTTGGGCCCATTAGTTTTTATTTTTAAAAGAATTGTAAGTACTTAGTTTGAGTTGCCGCCCTACTAAGGGCATCTTTGTAATAYCTCATATTTAAGTTAATTATAAATAGAATGAGGGGCTGGCGGCTAGGGGAATGAATCACTATCCTAGTCGACCTTCTTCTCCTTTCTTCCCTTTCCTCTATCTATTGCTGAAACCCCCAACTTTCTCCTCTTCCTTTCACAAGAAGCTTGGCCGAATCAGCACATAAGGCTTTCTACTAGTCCAACCCAGATCGCATCTCAAGCCTCAACCATCACTTTCAGAGTTCTAGATTTCCTTCCCCTGCCAGACACTCTTACACTAGGGGCTAATTCCTAATAGTTCCCTTAGATGTTGATTCCTAGAAAGCCTAGGTGTTTATTCCTAGGTTATTATATCTATTTTTTCCCTTATTTACAGGTTTGTCTTGCAGTAAACAATGATGAGAGAAGTTCAATTTCATATTAGGGATTTCCAGCAAAAAACTACTAGTACAACAGGTGTATTAAGTCTTAGTATGATGCCGTAGTGCCATACTTATCCTAATTATGTATGTGATATGATAGATCCAATTAAAGTATCAATAACCATTGGATCTTTATTGACTGATTTAATTTTTCCAATTTTGACCATAGAGCATTCTTATTCTATAACCTGATTTAATGGTTTACCAACATATCTCTGATACATACAAAAAGGAAAAAAAAATTAAGTTTCTATGAACTCCTTTTGCATAAATGTGCATTACTTCCAGATAAGGCCTTCAGATACAAGGTGAATTTATTTGTGCAAGCATAGGTGAGAAGTAACTAACAAAGATATTGCATGTTGATTGAATACCTGCTCTTTGTTCAATTGCATATGCTCAAAAACTGCATGTGCTAAGTAATCATCTTCTTCATCTTCATAAATTCTGTCATGACTTTCTGGGTCTGCAGAGGATAAACAGTTAACTAAATCTACAAAATTAATTTGACCAAACTTCCAAAGACAATGTATGTTTTCACCTAGTGCTCAGAACCACCTAGGTGTGCTGCACAAGGAGATGCGACAGCCCTAGCAATCTTGGACTGAAATTGCTAGTGAGTCACTCTCCTAATATAGGATGGTAAGGGTTAGGGAAACTTGTAAAGCCATCTTAGATGAAAATTCATGCTCTATTAATACACTAAATACCATGTTTCTTTTTTTTTGATGGACAATCCAGTATTTTATAAATAATAATAAAAGTAGACAAATTCATACAAAGCTGATATCTATCAGGAGGTGCGAGTTGCTGCCTCAAAGACAAAGTAAAATTACAAATGAGCCCAGAATAATTGATCCCTGTTCACCCCTTGCTTAGCTAGTTGGTCAGCCATCCTGTTTGCTGACCTCCTCTCCCACTGAACTCCAACTGTGAGATTAGAGGTAAGCCATTTGAATCTTTTCAATTCTCCCCTAAAAGACCATGCTACTGTCTCTGGTTCTTTCAGCCACCCAGTTACCACTCTAGAGTCACCTTCAATGATCAACCTCCTAAAGTTCAATTCTTTAGCAATCTGTGCTCCCTGTAGAGCAGCTTGTACCTCTGCACTAACTGCATTCCCCACACCAATTAGGCCTGAGAATAAAGCCACAATCTGTTCCTCTTCATTCCTAAAGACACCCCCAATGCCAGAGGGTCCAGGACTGCCAATGCTTCTGCCATCAAAATAACTTTATGAAACCTTCTTCTGGTGGCTTCCAATAATCTACAACAGGTTTATCCTTAACCAAAGAAGAATTTGCAACAGATACCCAATTTCTCTGTATGTCATCAAAGGAGTAAAGTGAGAATAAATCTAAAGATTTGGCCCAGCTTATAGCCCCCACTAGCAGACATTTCCCAAACATTATCTACATCCCTTTCTTTATCACTAAAAATTCTGTTATTTCGATTACCATGAGACACCTAGGCAAGATAGGGTGGCTCTAGCTTCGGCGCATCTTGAGGGGGAAGCTATCCTATGGTATCAGTGGTACTAATGGGGGTACCCTCATCAATCTTGGGCAGACTTCACCGATGCCTTGACCATCCATTTTGGGTCATCTGGGTTCAAAGATCACAATGAGAATCTTGCAAAACTGCGGCAGGTGGGATCGGTTAAAGATTATCAGATGGAGTTCAAAAAACTAGCTATGCGAGTCCAAGGGTGGATGGAAAAGGTGCTAGTTGGAAGCTTCATCGGTGGCTTGAAGGAAGAACTACGACTGGAAGTAAAGGCGATGCAACTTACTTTGGTCATAAACGCGGCAGCACTAGCAAGGTTGTACGAAGACAAGTTCGCTCGAGCAAGAAGGGTACATCAGCCATGGGGTTTTGTAACCAAATCGGCAGCACTGGATAAGGAGGAAGGAATACTGGGTTTAGGCCCATCTGTTCCCTTCAAACGACTGACTTGGGCCGAAATGCAAGCCCATAGAGACAAAGGACTCTGCTACAACAGTGAAGAGAAATTCAGGCTGGGTCATCGGTGCAAGAAACAACAAGCATTTCTCCTTCAAACGGAGATCGAGGAGGAAGATGGCTTCACTAGTTGTGGGGAATTTGACCCTGGGTGGGAAATACAGCCCAATGGAACACCTGAAATATCTCTACAAGCCCTTACGGGACTTGCGCCCCCGCAAACAATGAGAGTAGTTGAGTTAATCCAAGGGTGCCACGTGTCAATCCTTATAGACAATGGCGGTTCCCTTAACTTCATAACTAAAGTTTTGGTGGATAAAATGGGACTCCCGATTCAACCAACAACGGCTTTTATGATAGATGTGGCCAACAGTAATAGCCTATCTTGCAATAGTATATGCATGGGCTTACCACTAAAGGTTCAGGGTCACCAGTTTTCAGTGGACCTATACCACTAAAGGTTCAGGGTCACAATTAGGCCCCGTCATCTGTGACTGGGCTCGTCTCACCATGGACTTCACATCGAGGATCTCTACAATCCATCTACAAGGGCAAACATGCAAAGGTCCAAGGCCCATTAGTCCTACAATACTAACAAAGCAAATGAGAGATCTGGATCAGTCCATATTCATGCACATGGACTCAAATTGGACCAGCCCATCCTTAGCTAACAACAACTCAAATGGGCCTGGAGACTACCACAACCGCCTACAACATCTCCTCCAGCAATATGGCAGCGTGCTCAAAGAACCCCAAGAGCTCCCACCACCCCGGGAGCATGACCATTGCGTTCCTTTCATGCTAGGAGCCGCCCCAACCAATGCAAGACCTTAACGATACCCATATTTTCAAAAATTTGAAATCGAGAAGCAAGTTCAAGATATGCTTGAGAAAGGAATAATACAGCCCAGCCATAAGCCCATAACCCATTCTCCTCGCCAGTATTATTAGTCAAAAAGAAGGATGGGACTTGGCGATTTTGTATTGATTATAGGGCCCTTAACAATATCACCATTAAGGACTGATTCCCAATACCGATCATTGATGAATTGCTTGATGAACTTAGTCGGGCCACCATATTCTCAAAATTAGATTTACGAGTTAGGTATCACCGGATAGGGGTACATACGGAGGATGCTCACAAAATGGCTTTCAGGACACATGATGGCCACTACGAGTTCTTGGTCATGCCATTTGGGTTGACCAATGTTCCAGCAACATTTCAAGCCTTAATGAACGACATATTCCAACCATATTTATGTAAGTTCATTTTTGTTTTCTTTGACGACATATTGGTCTATAGCTCCAATTGGGAGGAACATCTGAACCATCTATACGTCACCCTCGCAACACTTAAGGTCCATCAGTTGTTCGCTAAAGAGTCCAAGTTCTCCTTTGGACAAACCCAAGTATATTACCCAGGACATGTTGTAGAAAATGGAACTATAGCAGCAGACCCGGATAAAATCTTTAGTATATTGGGCTGGCCGCAACCCAAAAACGTGAAAGAACTGAGGGCCTTCTTGGGCCTGATAGGTTATTATCTCCGCTTCATCAAAGGCTACAGCCTAATAACTGCCCCTTTGACCCAATTACTGAAATGAGATGCCTTTCACTGGTCAGCCCAGGCCCAACAAGCTTTTGAGAAGTTGAGACATACTGTCTCGATACCTCCAACATTAGCACTGCCTGGTTTCACAAAAGACTTCATCATTGAATGTGATGCCTCCGGTCAAGGTGTGGGGGCTGTCCTCATGCAAGAAGGCCGACCACTAGCCTTTTTCAGAAAGGCCTTGACATCACAAAAGTGGGCCAAATCAGTTTATGAACGAGAGTTAATAGCAGTGGTCTTAGTAGTGCAGTGTTGGTGATCCTACTTGCTCGGTAGACGATTCATAATTCGGACCGACCAACAAAGTTTGAAGTTCTTGTTAGAACACGCAGTCTTATCACCAGAACAACAATGATGGATGTCCAAATTATTGGAGTACGACTACACAATTGAGTACAAAGCGGGGGCTGCTTACCGGGTGTCTGAAGCCTTCTCACGACACCCACAATCATTTCAGCTACTCGTATCTTCCCCAACATCTCCACTCATGGATCAGCTTTGAAAGGAACCCCACTCCCATATGGGGTTATAGTAATTGAAGGCCCAAGTATTGGCAAATCCATCACAGCATCCAGGGTATACCGTCAAGGATGATCTGCTCTTCTTCAAAGGACGCCTGGAAATCCCAGCAGATTCTGCACATCTTAGGAAGCTCCTTGAATTATTCCATGCTCACCCACAGGTGGTCACTCTGGCATCCTACGAACGCAAAAACACATCGCCACGCAATTCCATTGGAAAGGCATGCATACCTCCATTGAAAACTTAATAGTCGAGTGTGCAGTACGTCAACAAAACAAGACAGCTACTACAACACCAGCAGGCCTCTTGCAACCACTCCCAATCCCAACCCAAGTTTGGGATGATATATCAATGAATTTCATCATGGGATTGCCCGTTTTTACCGGCAAAACGGTTATTCTTGTGGTGGTGGATAGATTGACGAAATACAGTCATTTTCTAGCTCTATCACACCCATTTACAGCAGTCACAGTTGCTGAATTGTTCCTCCGGGAAATTGTGTGACTTCATGGGTTCCCCAATTCAATTGTGTCTGACAGGGACCCTATTTTTATGAGCCATTTCTGGGCTGAACTTTTTCGTCTGCATGGGGTTAAGCTCTTCAAATCAACTACCTACCACCCCCAATTTGATGGACAGACAGAGGCAGTTAACAAGAGTCTTGAAACATATCTGAGATGCTTCGCGGGAGATTGACCAAGACAATGGGTGAAGTGGATACACTGGGCTGGGTGGTGGTACAACACCACTTTCCATAGCGCTGCTGGGATGACGCCCTTCAGAGATCTATATGGTCGGGACCCTCCCCCTCTACTTATGAAAAAGGGACCACTACAGTAGCAGCCTTAGAAGAACAATTGATACAACGAGATGAGGTGTTAAAGGAGCTGAGAAATCATCTCTTGCAAGCACAACAATGGATGAAGGGCACTTATGATAAACATCACAAGAATGTCCAATATGAAGTCGGTGATTGGGTGTTTCTCAAGACTCAAATTACATCTCTTCAGACAGATTTCAGTAGGAAGCCGACAGTGGAACAAACTCAGCCCGCGCTATTTTGGACCATTTAAAATCCTTTAGAGGATAAGGTTTGTGGCATACAAACTGGACCTCGCTGCAACATCAAAGTTACACCCTGCATTTCATATCCCTTTACTGAAGAAAGGGCCAAAGCTAGGAGTCATTACAAGTGCTACTCTTCCCACAATTTCAGATGAAGGACAAGTGCAGACTGACCCAGCCCGCATCATTGATTTTAGATGGGTGTGACGTGGCGGAAGAGTCATTCCAGAAGCACTAGTTGTTTGGTCTAAACTTCCAGAAGAAGATGCAATATGGGAATCTTACTTGGATTTGCAATCAAATTT